TGAACATGGCGATGTAGTTTTTGACCGGGAATTCAAGAGTATCGGTGTAATATAGCTCACAAAAATCTACGACAGTGGTTAAGAAGCGCATGATAAGGTTTGCCATATATGCCGGAAGAGGAGCTTGTAACTGGTCGGCAGCTGGCGCATGATTCTTCCGGACGGCCGCGCAGCTACGGAACTGAGATATAATTTGGCACCAAATATCCAAAATAGTCGTTGAATAAGATTTCACATACGTTAAAAGGGGCGTTCACTCTGCGTTGCTGCAAGAGTTTAGTTAATCAGTTGAGATTATTCCGATAAGACTACGAGGTTTTTCTCATTATAGCTATGATACGGTTATTGTGTTAACAGTGTTTTCCATCTCAACAAACTCTCATCTTTAGAATAGAATTATTTAAGAATATAACAACATATATTTAGAAATTATTAAAATTTATTAGAAAGGACATAAAAGAGGCGAGATTAGACATAAGGACCGGATCGCCTCGAACAACGGCTGACCGTTGAAGTGACTGGCCGGTGTTTAGCAGACGACACGTCATTCGGTGGCGCGGCCAAGGTGGATAGTTCGTGGAAAGTTGGACGTATGAATCAAGAAATATTAGCGACTACGCGAACCGTACATAATCAGGTCATCCATAATAGCACTTAGTTGAGCTATAACGCGATTGAGCTCAAGCAGAGCTCCGAGCCAACTGACGAACGCCATTCGTGGAATTATCGCGTGAAATTGACAGTCGTCAAATTTTTTTGTCACGGTTGCTCGGGTATGCTCCAGCAATATGTCACAGTCAAGTCGATATAATGAAAAACTGACGGTTTTTAATTCATAACCGCTCAACAAGGTATGTTCGAAGTAAGCAGGCTATAAATAAATAATCTTATTTTCGATAGTGAGAAGTTATTGCAGGGTGCCAGGTCATAATGAAGGCTCCAGTGCTCTTACCGTCTTTTGTTGTAATACTGCAGGCATACAGCTGCAACGTAGGCTGTTTTAAAGACATCAGTGAACTGATGGTACGTGGTAAATTGTTCTTTACTGAAACCTCATGAACTAGAAATGCGTATTTCAGGGCTAGTTTGACCGCTCACATGTGGACGACTTTTTGCAACGATGTGGGTACTGTCTGATTGAATTTGAAAATGTAGCCCCACAGTTCCAGAATACCCAGTTTGCTTCGGGATGATTAACGGGATAATCAGCCTGCTAGATCAAAGACGGACGTAACAATCCAAAGTACTTCTCACTTGGCATAGCTTGGACAGGCTTAGCAACTTGGAAACGGGAATGATTTTAACTGTGGGCGCAATTAGTGCCAGGTAGCTTAAAAGTAGTGCTTTTGACAAAATAAGCAAATACCCTGACGCCCTCTGCTCGGCTGAGCCGGTTCATAACGGCCGAAAGGTTGGTCTTCTGCTAGGCTAGTTTAAATTGGTAGTACCAAATCAAAAGACAAGCCTCTAGATAAATTTTCTCATGTCCCGATGCGAACTTTCGTCGTAGCTCATTATGGCATAATAATTCACCAAGTCGATAACTTAAAATTAAATCTTTCCGTTTAAAAATTTTGCGGAGGGACTTACTGACAGCCATCTTTTGCACGATTTTCTCCATCTGGTAATAGCGAGCTTTTGTGTTGAATGGCCCCTGGTAAGAGAAAGCGGAACAGTGCACGGTCTTCCGCAATTCTGTTGGCCCTCACGTGGGCTCAGGTGACGCGATGTAGGCGGAAGATGACTAGAAGACTGACTAGACCAGAATTCAGATTTGAGTTCGGCAGAAGATGGGCATTGAAACATGTTTTTCCGAGGGAGCCTACAAATCAATCGAATAACTTAATTGTTCAAGATCGCAATGATTCGACGGTAGGGTATGTAGTAAAAGCTACCACGAAGGCCGCGTTGTAAGTGATCTACGCCGCTGTTCAACGATGTTACGATGTTCAGCAGATATTTAAATATTGTCATGTCTTCTATACCGATAGCTCAATTTGTTCAAAGAAATTCCACATCGTAAACTGGCTTCAATAAGGTAAATTAGCAGCATACAGTAGATCTGCGGCACTTTGACAAGAATTGTTGAGAAGGTAAGTGGGTTTCCAATCATTCACCCTACTACTAGGCCGTCTCTGATGGATTGTGGAGCCTTCATGTAGACAAGTGTATAATATTGGTGGACGCCTATCAATATCTCAGGGGCGTCAGCTGGAAAATTGTCGATCAACACATTAATGGATACGTTTTGCAAACATTCTGATTGAGTTGAAAATTCCAGGCGACCAATCCATGGATGGGTGCACGGCAAGTCCATAAGCGTAGGCGCGAATGTGGATATCGGAGTAGCTGCTGACTAATTGTAGGCGGTATCAATTTAAGATAGCCGTATTAAAGCTTGCGAAGAGTTAAATTTCCAAGTTGGTTTTGCGGATTGATCAAATACCATGCAGGACATCCATGAGCCGCGGCGTAACAAACGTGAAAGTGCAACCTATATCAGGAGATAGGTGTGCAGAAACCAATAAATTTCCAAATACCACGTAAGGAGATATGGGGAAGAAACTACGTGTGGTTATGCGTCACTATTGTGTCTTTTGGTGCTGTAGTAGCATTTGTTCTTACAAAGTCGGCATTACTCAATGGTCTTTTAGAGCTGTCGTTGTACTTGCGTGTCAGAAAGCATGTGCGACCCCCATACTCCAATTATCTGGCATACCAACTTTTTTGTTGAACGGCTCACAATAGGTGTGTCACTAAAGATTCGATTACGCCGAGGAAATTTCTGGTGTTATGTGGTTTCTGCCGGCGAGGTTTAGCGCCACAACCTTTTTTTTGCTGATGCGGTTGTTGTGCGATGCATAACTCTTGGCGCATTCTGATATATCCTGTGAAAAATTTTCAACGTTTTCAACGGTCCTTACCATGGTCATGACATGGACACTGTTCTAGATGAGTTAACTTTTATGGAACTACTGTAGTAGTGTACCAATACTTTTCTCTTTAGTGTAGTCAATCAGAACGGCACTGTTTGTTAGACTGGGGACTTAGGGGCCGATCCTTAATTCGCCAGACCAGGTCCTGGCTTTTTCATCAACATAAAGCCACCCTAAACGCGATCTAGCAACCGTGCTAGTATCTCTTTGGCTGAGTTCACTTAGCAGTTTCACGGAAGGCAAGTTAAATAAGTTACAATAGCGCTTGTCAACTCGACAAATCGCGTCTAGCTTTTTACGAACATGTACATAATTCTTGCTAATTTGTCGCTTGCTGATGAGGTTTTCTGGCAAATCAGAGCGACACTCCTAACGCAACAAGTGGATCTGTGTCCGTAGTGCTTGCGGTTAATCCTATTGGCAAATTGGGGTCTCCATAAATAATATTGTTGTATATCGCCGTTAAAAATGTGAAGCGTCGAGGATATGGTTTGTTGCTGACCTTTTAGCAGGCTATTGGCAGAAGGTTAGAGGCGCTAGGGAGCTATAGGAACTAGATCCTGTAGCTTCTGCTACGTCATTTTCGTCAGGAGTGACAGACTGACCCTCTAAGGGATATCAAAAGCAATCTTACTTATTTAAATTCACTGCGGAAAGTCAGCTTCTTACAATTCAGTGTGTATCCTTGTTAAGAGCATCTATATCACAACACTAACTCCTATGCTTGCAAATCTATATTGGAGCAAGACTGCTATGTTGGCTGAAGTGTAACTATGAGCTTGCTAACCTCCGTTGTAATGCGCTGGGCTTAAACGACGATTGACTAGCAGCGTCAGACCGTCCACAGTAAACAGCTGGCGAACTGTTATCCAGAGCCATTTTATAGCACTGGTTATAGATCTGTTGCTTGTACGCAGACACAAGGCACTCTCAGTTCATGAATTAATTAATCATTTTAGGTTGGAAAACTGCATTCTCGCACGTAATCAGATGTGTTGGTCGATGATCCTGGTTTTGGAATTTATTTGAGTCATGGCCGTACGCCACCCGTTAATCCTGTCATGTCTGTGGTGTTATCCTATATTGATTTACTTCTAGCTGCTCCTTTAGGTTACACAAATATTAGCTACTGTTACGTAAAAAAAAAATCGTGTCTTTATTGAAAGTCGAAAATGAACTTATATTTTTAACAATCGTAAAAGAAGTTTATTCTGTTTTATCGGCCTTCTCCAGAGTTGTATGCTGCGTCTGCTAATTGACGGAACCACGCCCTTCTGTCCACTATGAAATATTAAATGTAGAGTTTTCTTATTGCATAAATAATATTCTATAAAATAATGGTGTGAGAGAGACTTGTGGCGCAGACAATTGGGTTCTTGCTAAACGTAAACGGAATACAGTCCCCCCTGAGCCAGGGTGGACTAATTAATTTAACAGTAACAGCCGTAGTAGGCATTACTAGACATTTATAAAGGTGTACAAATGTAATAGCAGTTTTTATACAGAAATATAAGCTAAAGCTTAATAGAGTAATCCAAGAATATGCGCAACACAGAGCGTCTGATTAAGTTCTAAGAATCAGTCATGTCATATAAGAGTCGGGCTGAAATAGTTTCAATAAACAGTTTTCATTTTGATAATTCTGTTAACAACACACGCCGATATATCTCTGGCACCTTATTGCTAGGAAACCCGATGATAAACGAAAATGACATAGTCAAACCTAAGTTGAAAAAAATGCTTGCACAAGTATTTTCATTATGTGAGGGCATGCCTTCTGCATTATCCCATCGTTGTGCTTCTATACATCTACAGTAGGTAAAGGCTGCTATTTTCGCCACATTCCGTATAATGGAAAAGCCTCCTATTTGCAACCAGAGCCCGAGTAAGTGTATTTGAGTAGGATCCGTTTTAAATCATCCATAGCTTTTTCAAAAAATACTATCTATAATTCTTAAATGATTATCGCTGAAGCTTACATCGGGCTCTTATTGGTGTCTTATATCTTAGGCATTTGCTTGCATCGGCTGTTATTTCCACCTCTCCTATTACATTTTATTTCAGCTGGGGCGTTCAACAGTTAGTGATCTGTTTCTGCGTTCAACCGATGCTATGTCTGATGGCCGCTATCGCTGCGAGGTGTCTCAGGAAGTTTCGTTCACGACAGAACGCGCTAAAAAGGATCTACTAGTTTACGGTAAACTATTAGGATTGCGTTAAGCTATTTCTATGGTTTTATTAGCTACGCTATTACAAACCCAATGATTTTCTAAAGCGTCCTTACATATATAGTTAGTATCTAAATTTACGTAAAAAAAAGTAGTAAGTTGTATCTAAAAAGTAATAATAAACTACACAAAAGAGTAATCCAACATACATTTACTTCTCACTTGTAATTATAGGTAGATAGGCGTTACAGGTAGATAGCTACATAACCATACAAAACAATTTGAGTGCTATACGCTTAGTGGGCTACGGGAAAAGGAGCCCATAAGGTGGAAAGTTGGTAAATCATTGAAGACAGGTCAGCATTGGTTTTCCTTGCTTTCTTATTCTGATTATGATTCGATTAGCATAGGTGTTGAATAATATTTCAGATTATTATTTCGATTATTCGACTATGTATGCTTCTGTTGCCATATGATACGAACGATATTCTAAGACGCAAAACGTTTCTTAACGGAACTCGGTTGGTGTATTCCACGATGGTTTCTACAAAACCCTTTTGCAAAACCGATATAGGATTAATAACTTTGAGATGAAAAAAATTATTTTCTTACGAATCTCTGCAACTTATCTGCCTGATGCTGAATATCGCTATGAGAAATTTATGAGTTGTTTACGGTAAAATTCTGAATATAGACCACGATTCGGTGTGGGCGATGTACAGGATTCTTTAAAAATCTTAAGGCCGTTTTTGCTGAGTAGATTTTGTTTAAACCAAAAGAGATAAAAAATAATACATTTGATGCATAGGGTTTATATGTTAGAGTCAGTCTACATATTTAGTTGCCTGCATAAGCATCGGGTTCACCCTAATCGATTCTACGGAAGGGATTTGCGGATAACGCTTATTCCAGTTAAACTAGCTGACTTGGAGAAAAGCGCTAATGTGAATATTGTTATATTATTTATTAATATATTTCCTCGAAATGGCTATTAACACTCGCTCTGGGTAATTAGGCAGAGTGAAGGTCCTTCTTCCCTCGTAATTTGGTGAGTAAGTTAATACATAGCAGAGAGTCATTAACTGTACAAAATTACTGATAGGACGATTTCCGGTTATTTTTATTATCTGCTTTCTATATTAATATGTAGCAACCGATGAAAAAATTGGACGAAGCGCTTCTTCGACTGAATCCGTTTTAACCAATATGTATCAATGGTGTAATTCACTCGAATTCAAGAGAAATCGGAAAACAGAATGTAATTGAACTTCTACCAGAAAAGCAAATGCTTTGATTGATTCTTCATACACTTTGTGCTCACGTTAATGCCTAAAGATTACAACACATCCGTGAAGTGAATGCAACCTGTTATATATATATCTATATACATCCGGAACTTCGTTAGCCTTGCATAAAACGGCTGACCTCTAACACAAAATTCTAGATTTAAGCCCATGATTTATGTATACTTTAAGTAGGCAAACGAGTTGCCATTTTTTATCACATGCATTATACTTGGGATAATGCTGTGTCCTATATTAATTATAGGAATCACAGTATCTGTATCAGTTTTGGTTGTGAACCCATGTTATTTGTTTCGTGGTCTTGGGCATCTGCGTTTTATTATCAAAAGAATCAAAAAGCTTTTCCCGCATATACTGTGTACCTCGTGGACCACCGCATTGCTTTACAGAGTGTTGTTACTTGAATACAATGAGACAACTCATAAAAACCATTAGCATCGTCATATAGGTCTCAAAAACGTTATCGAAAGGCACACCAATAGAAATATCATGTCTCAGCAACAAACTTCATGCCCTCAAAGTCAACTCTTTGGGGACAATAAAGCTAAGTGAGTTAATCTGTTTCATTCACTGCTGAGTTCTCTCAAGCACAGAGCAGAATGCTGTCGTCGGCTCTTTTAATACACGAACTATTAATCATGGACACAATAATTAATTGGGGCAATCGCTGGCTTGCCCACTATACATAAGTTATCCTGTTGTACTTGAAACCAAATTTTATTATTTTCTACGTTTTAGTGCTACGCCAGTGAGAATCAATTCGCTGCATTTTTAGTTTGCGTGTCCCTCATCGGAAAAATTTATTTCGATGCTTTAAAAAGTATATTGGCACTGTGCGTCCGAGTAGACTGTGCCACTTTAGCTAAGCATGTTTTTGGAAGAAGCGCTTTGAAGTACAAAGTAGAATCCATTGTACTATTGTGCATGGGGTTTAAGCTATATAAATGTCAAAAAAAAATTTCGACTGTCTCGGTGGCGGGATGGGGTTGACACCTGACCTACAACCACAAGGTTTCAGATTCGATATCTTTTCGAAACTTAGCACTTTTTTTCGAATTATTTGAATTTTTAGCTTTAACTCGCCATGCACATACTTTCGGCCACCGTGAGTATCATTATATCCTCTACTTTCAATAATTCGAAATCGGTCCCTACCGCCTGTATACCACAGGCATCCTGACTAACTGTGGCGGTACTGGGGCCGAAAAGTTTCAACCCTTAGAAAAACTGGATTTAGAAAAAAAGAAGATTTTTTCATTTAAAGTCTGTTAAAGTCGAACGTAATTATTTCTCTATAAAATGGTTAACAATTATCAAAAAAAACAAATGAGCATACAATCCTTACTTTCTCGGTTTACCAACCGACCTCGTGTTTATATGGGGTTTTGAAAGTTACAGTTAGCTTCATATTAAGGCGAAATAACTAGTTAGGCACTACTTTAGATGGGCCCTGAGATTTTTTCTCCAACAGACTTATAAAATAGTAACCATTTGCCAAAGGTAAAATTTGAGCCAGCGATAACCACATGTTTACAGTTGCTATGACAACGCACTCGAAGAATGCATATGTGCCACCCAAATAATATTGCTTAGTTAAACATAAAATCATGTTTGCGGTTAAGTAGTCAAATGAGAGTAGGGCATATGAGTTCAAGACAACAATAATAAGTAAAGCTCGTGCCGTTCTTAGCAGTAAGTAATTGCTAAGGAAATCAATATATAAGACGCAAATCACCTTTGGATGAGGTTAGGTGTGACCAAGTCTTAGATACCACTGCAGCAACTAGATCGAGAGAACATAGGCTTATTAAATTTGTTTTTGAAGAGCGCTTGGGGAACAGTACAAACCTCCGGGGAAATTAAGCTTACAAGTCGTTAGATAACGAAGGTGGGGTGGATGCTTTTAAGATCCGCCAGAGCAATTCGTCGACAAGCTGGTAGTGCCTATAGATTTCTTTAAAGTGAAGATTTCTATGTTTATTAAACATTTTGTAATAAATGCAAAATGTTATGCAATTTATAAATTTTAGTACATACATATTTTTCTTATGGAGTTTTCTGAGAAATAACTATATTGTACATAAATAAAAGTGTTAGTAGTGTCCGTTCGCAGTTAATAAATCACTGTTTGATTCAACGTATTTGGGATTGAAATCGAATTTCTAAGATATTACATTTTATTGTTTGCAGTGTAAAAAAACTACAGTTAGAGTTTTCCAATTATAAACGATGAGTCAAGGAAGTAGGTAGCCATTATGCTGCAAAGCCCTGGTTACACAATAATCTGTTCGAATGCTACAAGCAATTGCATACCTTATGGAACAATCCGTATAGTGTGGCTACCAGGATGTTATACGCTAACTTGTACTACTTGTTTATCAATTTGACGGGCAAATGCTAGTGTCAGATTGACGTGTATGCGAAATTTTAGGCATAAAATACAATACGTCCTGAAATAATAACGGAGAATCTATTTAATCCAAAAGTGGGTAGTTCGCCATACGAATAGTAAAGTCACTTGAATATAAAGGCAGATGTCTAGGTCTGCGCAGACACACCGATAGGAATAATTTGAAAAAGAAAGGCATTGCCATTTATAATATGAGTTGACGCCGCAGGTACGAGACGACAGTCTAGTGTTGCACTTAATAGGCGTGTCACAGAAACTGTTGGCGGTTGTTTTCTGATGTTGCGACTATTAATTGATGGGTGCACTGACCTTTGAAACGACGCATACTTCTTACCACTGCAGAAGCCATACTTTTTCATACCGGTTGAAATACCAAATATTAATTTTTCCTGTTGTTATAAACAGCGACTTCGTTTATCGGATTCTTACGCTGAGAAGTTAGTGGTACATATGGATTATTCATTATGTACAATTACAACTAAGATTTAAGTATATTATACAAAAATCGCTGCCGGGTAGGTACAATGGGCATTTTGGCCATTAGGCACGATAGTGTAAATCGGCCTAAAAATATGAGACCCTTTCATATACCTACCAGCCTAACACCCACTTTAAAGCTTAGGAATGAGTGCTTTGAATTATTTAAAGGTTCAAGAGTCGGTGTCTTCTGTGATGATTATAGTATACCTCATCGATGTTTCGTTGTGGCTGCCTATGGGTTTGCTTCAAAAATAGTTTTAGTGCTGTTCAGTGTGTTGACCCATGTAATACATTCAGCCCTAGAAAATGAACGTCATGACGGTAATGTTCGCACGAGCGCTTGGGCACGTACTATTTGCAACGTGTGTTAATTCTCAATCTATAATATTACGGTGATTCTACCGCTACGTATATTAGCCACAAAAATGAAAGATTCAGAGAGGTGATGGAGATTATAGCTAACCACAGTGACGTTGATCGTGACGTTGATATTAACTTTTGTGTTTACCAGGACCTTCCTATTATTCAGGTATTTTCTTGTTCATGTTGAGTGATTTCACTTTTATTAATCGGAATCAGAACGATTTCTTGCCAAATAATAAAAATCTTTCAGTACCTACACCCCTTTTGCAATGATGAAGTTACGTGTTTACATGATCGTCGATGAATGGCTAGAGCGTTACTGCGCGACGGAATAAAAAATTCTAGGCAGTTCGCGATACTGTCTAAACATATTTTCTCTGACGATCACAAAATGGGTTTGTTGAAATAAACTTAAACGAAATAAACTTGGGTTGTTTTTTACCCTCAAGATAAGGCTACCATTTACACTCCG